TTAGGGAAGGAAGGTTCATAGAATTTATAGATGAGAGCTCCATGGTGGGAAACATCATAAAATGAGAGAGTGCAAGTGTCTCTGTCCAGGAAAACTCCAACACGACTGGGAGGATGAGTCAGAGAGAGGACTAAGACACTGGCATTGTGGGTGACAGAACACTCTACAAAGGCATTATATACGGACCTATTCCTCATCCCTATAACCCAGTAGCCACATTTAGGTTGATAATTTACTTGTTGCTTATCCTGAAAATTATACATGATGCCCCTTTGATTCATTGAGTGTAGTTGGGGTTGAGCTTGTCTTCCATCATTTAATCCCAGGAGCCAGGCGTCACTTGTAGACACGTCCACTTCCCAGTAATGTTTCCCTGACTGCATAGCTGGATATCCAAGAACACCTAATGTAAAGGTCTCAGAAACTTGCAAAGCTCTTCCATAGTTATTTAAATGTTGTATTTGTCTTTTTTCCATATCAATGAGAATGTTGTTATTGTGCATTTGACGTAGGGTCACGTGAACTGCAGAAAAATGAGACATAGTGGTTAAGAGTCACATGAGAGTGTATATTGGCAGAAATAGCATGCAACATCAGTTTTAATGGAGAAATAAACTCTGAAAGGCATAAAGAAGAGAGTGACTTATGGTGCTGTATTTCTCCTTACCCCAGTAGCGTTGCACATCCATGAGCCCTGAAATGATGAAAATTCACAGCATCAAATGCAAGCAAGGGAATCAAAACATTAAATCAATCTCCTCTGCAGAATAGGGGAAGGATTGTAAACTATGATATAGGACAGGATGCATGATGATTTCCCATTAAATATGATGACATCACTGGGGCACACTATTTACTCTTCTGAGTCTCTCTACCTATTTGCATAAACATCACTTTCTTTCTAGATGGTACAGTCCCAGCCACTGATAGCATTCCCCAGTTAACCACAGAATGCAGCTGTTCTCACCTTGAAACTCTTGCAGCATGCCTTTCACATCTGGAGCTCGGAAGATCCTTCTCTGTTTTCTTGGGATCATTGTGGGAGTCACTATTACAGTTAGACTCCTAGGGACAAAAGATTGACCTCCACATCTCAGACAATGTGACTTTTGACCACCACTGTCTCCCCATCACTCCATATCATTCTAATTATAGATGTTCTGGAGCTCTCCCGAGAATTCCAAGAAGGGAAAAAGAGGGTAGACTACTAACTGCAGACTTGTGAGACATATTCTTCATTCCCGGCTCACCACTTACTTGCTGTGTGATGTGGGAAAGTCTTACTCCTCAGCAGCAGAGCTCCTCAATTTACAGGCAAAAACTTGCTCCCCCACTCTCCCTTCTAGCATTCTTATGAAATGATTAATTACTGAGTTTTAAAAGAAATCAATGTGAGGTAGCTAGAAAATGATGTGTCAGTGGGCATGAAGTCACAAGCATTTAATCCCTGTACTTAGGGGATGGATTCAGGCGGATCTCTGAGTTCGAAGTCAGCCTGGTATACTGAGTAAGTATCAGGCAAACCAAGGCTACACAGAGAAACTTTGTGAGAAAAACAAATTAGAGAGAGAGAGACATACAGACAGAAAGCAGAGAGACAGAAAGGAAGAAAGAAAGAAAGGAAGGAAGGAAGGAAGGAAGGAAGGAAGGAAGGAAGGAAGGAAGGAAGAAGAAAGGTGGGTTTTATGGACAGTCTAGAGTAGGTGATTCAGAAGCTGTTCTGGGTAATGAGTCATAGAATGTGATAAAACCGTCTGGAGAAAGCCAAAACTTCAAACACTTTTGTCAATGGACACTCTTTGCCAGCTCCTGAATTTTCAAGTTCTTTTTTAAGATGAAAATTTTGGCAAAGATGGAGCACCAAATTAATTTCAATATGAGCCCCATATGTTCAGAACAAGTCTGATGCTGGCAGCCTGGGTGTGACTCTTTACATACAAAGGCACAGCTTTCCAGTCTTCTAAAGTATGTGGCTTATGTGGAACAACTGTGCCCACAGACTCAAGTCTGTTTTTCAAAAAGCTAAGCACAATCACAAAGGAAGTCTGGATCTCTTCCATCCCACGAGAAACACACAGATCCCCAGGAATTTTCCCAGTGTGCAATTCTGTGAACATTGCAGACAAGGAAGACACAGCGTAGCTAGGATGAATCTATGAATAAAGTCTTGTTAACTGCACACAGAGCCAGACACAAGCATACAGCATGGACAGAATGAGGGAACCACAGGAGTCTGAAAGCACCTGTGACTCCATTTGCCTCATCCCACTGCTGAGCCTAACTCTGGACTCCCCATTACCCAGTCCCCTAAAAGATAATCAGTCTATTCTCAACAGTTACAAAACAGGCAGACCCTGCCTTTCCCTTCCTCTTCCTTACTGGTACTTTAGAATAACACTTTGTCTAAATCCTCCAAACCTATGACACTTTTATTCTAGTTGGACACTAAATCATTCTCACCACACAACAGGGCTAATCTTCCCTGTCAGCCCCTACATACCTTCTTAGGACAGAATTCACACCCTAGGAAGGAGGGAGAAAACACAGTTAGTAACATGTTCTGCATGTTCTTGCACATTGTGGCCACACTCTCGCTGGCAGCAGACAGAAAGTCAAAACAGAATCAAACCAATCCCCTCCAGTTTTCCAAAACATGATATAAATACGATGCATGGCTCTTTACTTGACTTACATGTAAACTAACAAACTATTTTGTGTCTCATACTACAAGGCTTTGGAGACCAAAGATGAATAGACAACAGTTTGAAAGTTTCCATTGGTTTTGCTGTGTGTACAACTAAATACATAAACACATGACTTTTAACTTGCTATGTGTTAGCTTTTTATTACCTTACTTGCAACTAGCATGTCTGAGAAGCTGATTTCCAAATTATTTTAGTCACTTAGACACAATTAAAAATTAGTAATGAAGAAACAACAAGGACCAGAAGCTTAGATTGTTGGATACTTAAAACCAATTAATCCCATCTCCTTTTCTCCTTTTTTTGCTTTTCTCTGTAATTGTCCTGGCAGGAAAATAAATTAATCTAAAGAGAAATGTGTTCTTTCTAGGGAAACTGAAGATGGACAGAGTGGGTTTTCAAATCTTTGTCCATCTTTAAAATGCAGCAGAATTATTAAATATCCCTTTTATGTGTTGTAATATTAATTTGGTTCTTTTATATGAGACAAATATCAAGCCCTACCAAATCCACTTTGATATGTAAATGTAACCTTTCTCCTAACTGCTAACAATTACCAGGAGCTCCAAAGGGGTGGCTGCACTTCCAAAGGAAGCTCACTTTCCATAGTGGAATTTGGTGTAGTTTAGGCTTGCACAGTTGTTGGGTTTGGTGTCACAACAAATCTCAGTTCATATGTGCTGCTGCTAAGCTATGTCCAGAAGACACTATTTTCCTTGTAGACCTTCATCACCTCTTGCTCCCACACTGTTTCTGTCCCTTCTTCTGCAATGATCCCTGAGCCTTTAATTAGAGGTGTTGTAGATAAATTTCATTTAAGCCTAGACATTTTGTAGTCTCTTAGTCTCTCCAACCTGGCCAGTTGGGGTTTCACTATGTAACCCTGCGGGCCTGGAAATCACTGTATAGACCAGGGCTGGCAATGAACCCTTGTAGCTTCATTAACTTCTGCATTCCAACGCTGTAATTAAAGGAGTGAGCCAGGATACCTGGTTGTAAGATGGGAAGTTTATATATAATTTTCATTGTTATGTGCTTCTCTTGTTTCTCTCTGTGTGTGAGAAGCTCTCAAGTCCTGGGATCAAAGGCCATAGATACTTGGCTACTCATGGCTTTATTTTATATAACACAAACCACCAACAGTAGATCCCCTAGTAAAAGGAATTCTGGGGATAACTAATCATTTAAGTTATAGGTGAATTCTGACGCTCAAACTTTTCCTCATAGAGGCGTCTGTTTGATCATGTCCACTTAGTCATTGTCATAGTAGATAAAATAGAGACAACCAGAGAACTAATTAGCAGAGGAATGGATAATAATGATATGATAAGCATATATGTGAAGATATTAGTCAATCAAAGCAAGTATTGCCACTTGTGGTACTACATTGGATGAAGTCAGAGAATTTATGTTACGCTAAACCAGCTGGGCTCAGGAAAACACAACACTAAGTATTACCATTTAAATATGTGTCATGTGAAAAATTCATCTTACAAAAGTAAAGACTAGAATATGTGACAACAGGGGCTGGTGGCAGAGAAAGGTGGGCAGATTCTTTGGTCAAGAGATATAATATCAGGCTTGTAGAGTGTGGTGTCTGTAGGTAGAACTACTTTGGTTAAGTCTGTACGGATAACTCCGTCTAATAATGGTAATGGATGAGTGTTCTCAATAATAGTTAAATCAACACAATGGAAACCAATAAATTAATATAGTGTGAGAAGTTCCTAAAACTACCAAGGTCTGTAACATTGACAACTGAAATAATAGAAACAAATTCCTACCAAGATATTCATCAGCAGATTATGACTTTGGTTTAAATCATTTACAAATGTGATAGAAATGAAACACAATACAAACTTTACACCTGTAAGGATTACCTTTCATCGCAGAAACTCAAAGACAGAGACAGGACAAACTTTCTGAGATCTTAGATAGTAACTCCCCTCCTACTGACCACACTACTGGAATCAGAGGCAGTGGGGGTTATGTGTCCAAACTTCTAAGGGGGGAAATAATTTCCACTAATTTTAAATTCAAGGGAAGTGATAATGACGATTGAAAACATACATCACGAGTGCTCAGCATTACAGCGGGGTAGTAACACCATGAGGCAAAAGATCTCTACAGGGTTCAACTTCTGTACTCTACTTGATAAGCTAAAAAACACAATTTCTCCTTGCCACCATGCATGCAACGATTCCCCAGCCTCTGAAACTGGCCCAGGAAAGAGTTCAGGGAGGGCACAGGCTTCCAGGTCTCTTGACTCTCAGATGCTGGGACCTCCTGCAGTCTTACCTGCAGCATTTCAAAGGTTGAGCACTGCAACTGATGCTCCACATCTGAGATGAGGTCTCTCACTGCCTCCCTCTGCTTCTCCAGCTCAGTTTGAGACTCTGCCAGGCTGTTCATGATGCCTTCCTTCTCCTGCATCAGCTTCTGCAGCTCACTCTTCTTCTCCGAGTCCAGGAATTCTTGCAGTCCTTCGAATGCCATCTGAATGTTTTCTTCCTCACTGTGTATTTGGGCCTTGAGGGATAAGAAAGGGGGAAGGAATTCAGACTGTCCTGATGGGACTGGAGGGCAGAAAACCACTGTGGTGATGGTGACTTCTCACAGGGAACTGAGTGTGGGGAGGGAAGGGAGTCTTAGGGAAGCATGTGTGTCCTTTCAGTGTCTGTTCATGACATTCCAAAACAAAGATCTCAGGTCACCTTTACAAAGGACACCTGAGCCAAAGTGGGATGCCTGGGTGTGGCTCAGTGTTCACACACCTGCCCCAGAGTCCTATTCTTGCATAGGATACTCCTTTCTCATCCCACCTCTGAACCCCTCAGATAAATTAACCCCAAGTATAGAATAGTGACTGTTCCCAAGCATCTTTCCAACAGTCATAGTTCCAGAAAACACCACCGGAGTGAGGCCCAGAACTCAGTGACCATCATCCTGGGGCCTCTCCATGGTGTCAGCTCTTCACATAGCCAGGCTCAGTTGTGAGGCACTCACTGTTCAGCCCCAGCTCCAAGGGAACAGGTAGAGAGGACTAATCAAGGCCACTTGGCCTTATCAACTACCAGGGAGTGAAGAGCCAGGGAGCTTTTTGCCCAGGTCTCTCCAGACATCAGGCTAACTCTCTTAGGAAGGGTCCCCACTTGCCTCCCAGTATGTTTTCTCCTTTTGAAGATAATCTTCCCATTCATCACATCTTTTCTCATTTGCCATCTGTGTCTGCAGAACAGCCTGGAGCTTCCCCTGTGGGAGAGGAATTGTAGCAGAGTCAAGCTCTGTGCTTAATAGGATGGTTGTTTTAACCAAAGACCAAAAAAGCCCTCTGGAAAGACAGGACCCTTAAGACTGTTCTCTTTTTACAACTTGTGCCATGATTTATGCACAGAAATAATGTAAATCTTCAGTTTACAGCTCACCCAACTCTTGTATTTATACACACACAACCCCCATACAGACAAAGACGCAGAACTCTCTCTTAGTCATCCTAGCAAATACAAACCCGCCACATGCATATTCTCTTCGCTGCTGTATGTCATTCATTTACTAACCCAGTGCTGACGGTCACTAGACTGGATTTTCCGTAGTGTGAGTGAATCTGACATTAACGTGGAAAGAAGATAAATATGGAATAAATTGCTATTGGTTTTTCTTTGTCATCTACGCAACTTTACAGGAACAGTTCCAAAACTACTCTTTATCCTAATATTTGTAGTACAGGCTGATTATCATATGATTAAATGAAATAAATCATCATGTCTTTTTAGTACTCTAAATGTAAGAAAGAATGGAATGATATAACAAACCTTGGGAATATGATGTCCCAGCTGTTACTGTCTGCTGCTCCTCCCTCTTCTTACCTCATATTTGTAGGTCACCTCTTCAATGAGAGCTGTTTGGTGACCACGGTGATCCTGAGATCTCTCACAAAGCCAGCAGATGGCCACCATGTCATTCTCACAGAAGAGCTGGAGTTTCTCTCCATGTTGTACACAGACATGAACCTTCTGCTCCTCCTCTGGGCAGGACGTGACCCCCTTGAGCCTCTCCACTATGTTGGCCACATGTCGATTAGGTCTCAGATTCCCAAACAGGTAAGTAACTCGGCACACAGGGCAGATGCCCTCCCCTTCTTTGACTTTGCTAGCCTCATAGTTCAGTGTGATGCAGGCTCTGCAGAAGCTGTGGTCACAATCGGCACTCACAGGTTCCTTCAGGAGCTCCAGGCAGATAGGACAGGTCACCTCCTCCTTGATCATCACCAGGACTGATGAGGCCATTGCTGCTGTGACCCTGGGTCTGTCGGTCTTGACTACTGACACTCTGCTCAGGTACCTGTATAACTGGGATGAGGAAAGGGGGGACCAGAAAGATGGGACAATCAGGATGGACGCTGCAGAGAGGATTGAAAGACCTCAATGATAAAGGATAAGAACAAAGGAGAGAAATATGGAAAGAAGTTTTGTGACATGGCAAAAGGAATATTTTGTTCTACTTTCACATCCTCTACTATATTTCATCCAAAATGACAAATTTTGGATGCAGGATTATTATTTCCTTTTACTGAAGAGCAGAAAGGAAGTGTTTCCTTCCAACAGCCTTGTGTAACCTACTTTCTATTCTTCCTTTTCTGTTCCAGGGCAACATCACATCTTCAGTGTTAAAAGCATCCAACTAGTCATGTCTCAGCCATTGTACTTCCTCCTTCATCTGCCCCAGTCAGGTGACTCTCTCTGATCATCTCTCTACAGTTTCTTACCAGGAAACCTGGTGCTGACCTGCAGTGTACCCTGTCCCATCACCTGATGCACTTGGGAATTGATTTCTTTTATTGCTATTTAATTAATGACATCATTTGTGCTTGTACCATGTTAAGCTAAGCTCTAACCAGATCTGTACAGATGGCCACTTACAAGGCTCATTTGCTTTCAATACACTGAAAGGGGATGAAAACTGAAGTGTCCAGGATTATCAAAATATAAAACTGTATGTCCAAGCACATTTTGGAAAAAATGTTATAAAGCTGGCAGGTACTTAACCTTTAACAATCACTTTCTGCCTTAAGAGCAGACATCCCGACAGCCACTGCGTACAGAGGTAAACTTTTAACAATTGTGTCCTGCCTCCCAGCTTCACTCCTAGGCAGGTAGGGCAGACAAACTTTAGCTTCTAACTGTTGCCTCACTGGGGCCCTCTGTGTTGCATTTCCTTAATTTTTAATGATCCTCATGTGTGGTTCTACTCTCTGCCTTGCATTCTTTCAAGGACAGGGAAAAGTGGCTGTGTCAGCCACATGCTTTTGCAAACATCCTCAGTTAACATCTTAACATCCTATAAGCAAATGTTGTTAAACCTAAGCTCTTTGACCCACATGTGGTGCTTGACTTTAGTAAAAGAAGAAACCCAAAACCAGTCCCCATTGCTTCACTTTCAGAAGCCTGATCTCTGGCGGTGGTCCTAGTTAATTGTTAAGCTTTTTGTGACCTGCAGTGATTTTCTTGGGGGAAGTGGGAGGTGGGGAAATAAAGGTTGCTTCTGATTTTATAGACTTTGATGATCTTTCCCTGTTATTTTCGAGTTTCCCAGACCCAATATTCTTGGTGCCCAAACATGAAACTTCACACCTTTCTGGTTCTGGGTGAGCGGCACCCCACCTCTGGCAGACTTTATTCTGCCAGCAGTTTTGGCCAGTTGGTATGCTTTCTCTGGTTTCTGGTGCTCCCACAAAGGAAGGCTCAGTAAGATTAGGTGGACTCACCAAAGATGTCCAAGCTGGGGGCATGTAGGACACTTCCACCCCTCTTCTGGCCATTGGGTTGCTCATCTGTTGTGCTTTGGGACTGGTTTGGGATTCTCGGGTCCCTGGGCATAGCATTTTTCTTTTTGTATGTCTCTTCAATCCTGCTTGATTGTCCTGTTGTCTATAGTCATTCTCTTTGTGGTGATTGTCGGTAAATTAGTTTCTACCCTGGCCTAAGGTTCCTCTGAGCCTCTGGCCCTTTCTGATCATGTTCTCTCCTTTCCAGGATTTCAGGGATTGCAACAGTAGTTTTTGGTCAGCCTACCCTGGTCCTCTCTGTGTCAGGAATCCAGGCTCCCCAAGGGAGTAGAGCTGGCTCCCATGTGTTGGAGCAGTGCTGGCAGTCAGTGAGAGGACTGTCCCTCGCCCACCGACACTACAGTCACCCACTGATAGATGCCACAGTCCCAGGCAGAATGCCAATGATAAGCCTGGCAGAGGAGGCAGACATGACCAAAAGCACCCACAAGACCAGACATCAAAGTTGGTCACTGCCAGACACTTCAACTGAACGATAATTTATTTAGATCCCATATAATGACCCTTGCTGCAAGGCTGCACAGATAGAGACAGTAGGGCCAAGCAGAGACGGGAGCAGCCCTATCAGGAAAACAGAAAAATATAAGCAACCTGCCTATCCCCCACCCCCAGCCTAAAAAAGTAAGAAAGTAACAAAAGGTTTGTCTGGTTTAAATGCATAAATATGGACACTGAATTCTTATTTCTAAATGCATGACTCAACCATGCTCAATGCATCTTGGGTGCAGCCCTTACGGCTCAAACTTAAAATTGACCTCTGGATGCTGTGGTAATTAGACTTTATCACCATATAAAGTATATTTGATCATATATCCACCATATACAGCATGTTGCAACAGATCTCGCCATATAGTTTCATCATAATATAAAGGAATATAAAGTCTACAAATATCTAGGTATAGACATACATTTCCTTATTTTAAAGCCATACATGAATAGCCCACTACTACTCTAATAACAAATTTAGGTCAATGAAAAATCTTTCCTATAAAGTCATGCATGAAACAATGGTGCTTATTGTTGTCATTTCCAGGAAACACAGCAGGGACAAGGAAGTACCAACAATACAATCAGCCTGGAAAAATAAATAGATAATACATGTGCATATTATATTTTTCGAAGACAGGGCTTTATGTAGTACAGTTGCCCTGGAACTTACTTTGTAAACCAGGCTGGTCTTGAACTCATAGAGACACACTTCTCTCTGCCTCCTGAGCATTTGGATTAAAGGCTTGTGCCAGGTCACATTTGTTTTCCACATGAAAGAAAAGGCAGAAAGCTCAGTAAAGATTCACATGCAATATACCCGGCAAAGCTCTCAATCACTATAGATGGAGAAAACAAGATATTCCATGACAAAACTAGATTCAAGCAATATGTGTCCACTAACCCAGCCCTACAGAAAATTTTGGAAGGAAAACTCCAACCCAAGGAAGTTAACTACAACCAGAAAAACATAGGCATTAGAGAATCCCTCTCTACCAACAGCCAAAAGAACAAAGGGGTGAAATTCCACACATAATTCCATCACCAACAACCATTGCAAATCGAAGAAGGATGAGCAATCAATGGTCATTAATATCCCTCAATATTAACGGCCTTAACTCACCCATAAAAAGACACAGACTAGCAGAATGGATTCGAAGACAGAACCCTTCCTTCTGCTGCATACAAGAAACACACATCACCCTCAAAGACAGACATTACCTGAGAGTTAAAGGTTGGGAAAAAATTTTTCAATCAAATGGACCCAAGAAACAAGCAGGGGTAGCAATCCTAATATCTAACAAACTGGACTTTAAAATAAAATCAATCAAAAGAGATGAAGGAGGTCATTACATACTCATCACAGGTGAAACCCACCAAGATGAAGTGTCTATCCTGAACATCTATGCCCCCAATACAAAGGCATCCACATTCGTTAAAGAAACATTATTAGAACTTAAATCTCATCTAAAGCCCCACACAGTTATAGTGGGAGATTTCAACACACCACTCTCACCACTAGACAAGAATACCAGACAGAAACTCAACAAAGAAGCAAAGGGTCTAATAGAAGTAATGACCCAACTGGGATTAACAGATGTCTATAGAAGATTTCATCCACATAAAAAAGAATATACCTTCTTCTCACCACCACATGGAACCTTCTCAAAAATCGACCACATACTTGGCAACATATCAAACCTCAGCAGCTACAAAAAAATTGGGAAAACTCCATGCATCTTATCAGACCATCATGCTTTAAAATTAGAATTCCACAACAACACAAATTGCAGAAAACCTACAAACTCATGGAAATTGAATAATGCTCAACTGCACCATCCCTGGGTCAAAGAGGAAATAAAAAAAGAAATTAAAGACTTCCTTGAATTCAATGAGAATGAAGACACAACATACCCAAACCTATGGGACACCTTGAAAGCAGTGCTACGGGGGAAGGTCATAGCACTAAGTGCTCACATGAAGAAACAGGAGAACAGTTATACCAGAGAATTATCATCACAGCTAAAAGCTCTAGAACACAAAGAAGCAAACTCCCCCAGGAGGAGTAGACGCCAGGAAATAATCAAATTGAGGGCTGAAATCAACAAAGTAGAAACCAGGAAAACAATACAAAGAATCAATGCAACGAAGAGTTGGTTCTTTGAGAAAATCAACAAGATAGACAAACCTTTGTCTAAACTTACCAAACAGCAGAGAGTGAACACGCAAATTAACAAAATCAGAAATGAAAAGGGGGACATAACAACAGACTCTGAGGAAATCCAGAGAATCATTAGGTCATACTTTGAAAACCTGTACTCCACAAAATTCGAAAATTTAAAGGAAATGGATGAGGTGAGATTGGGTCTCCGGTGGGGACCGCCCGCTCATCCCCCATCCCCCTCGATCTTCGGGGCCTCTCCTGGCATCCAGAAGACCCGCCCACACAGGAAAGACATCAGCCCCTCCAAGACCCCAACCCCAGCGAGTCCAGCTTCAGGAAAGACATCAGCCCCTCCAAGACCCCAACCCCAGCGAGTCCAGCTTCAGGAAAGATATCAGCCCTTCCAAGACCCCAACCCCAGCGAGTCCAGCTTCAGGAAAGATATCAGCCCTTCCAAGACCCCAACCCCAGTGAGTACAGCTTCAGGAGACCTGCCCACATAGCAAAGAAGTCAACAATTCCAAGACCCCAACCCCAGTGAGACCAGCTTCAGGAAAGACATCAGCCCTACCAGGACCCAAACTCCGTGTCAGCATCCCCAGCTTCAGCTGCAGGAAGGAAGGAGACCAGTGGAGATGGAAAGACCACACCAGCACCCACTGAAAGAAGAGATGGGAAGAAGACAGAATAAGAGATCACTCAGCAATAGAAACACCAACATGACTGCACCAGAATCCAGGGATCCAACACCAGCAAGACCTGAAAAGCTAAATCTAAATACCACCAAGAAAGAACAACCAAAAAATTTAAGGAAACAACTCAAACAGTTGAAGGATTGAAAGCTGAAATAGAAA